GTGGTGACGTAAAAAATGACATCACAACTGACAAATACCTTTTGAGTATCCAAGTCATATAACTTATATTTTGAACTTGAGGATATTCAAGAAAATACAACGTTTAGCCCTGGAATCAAATTTATTAGGATGGTGTTGTATTGTAAAAGCGTAACAAAGACAACCAAATGTGCGTAAATTAGAAAAATCAGGAATGTGACCAAATAACATCTTGTAGGCTTTTATGCTGTAAAATAGGGGTAGGGTACGATTAATGTGATGTGTGGCTGTCAAAATACAATCACCCCAAAAGGATATGGGGAGTCATGCTTGAAAACGTAAAGCCCTTGCCATATTAAGAAGGTGACGATGCTTTTGTTCTACAACCCGTTTTGTTGAGGAGTGTCAGGACAACGAAACTATTGTAAAATTCCATATTGTAATAAGAGTTTAATACCATATGAGGTCCTCCGAGTATAGTGGTTTTGCCACGTTTAGTCCTACCCTTTTCAAATTGACCAATTGTGGTCCTTCGACTTTCAAATTTAACCATTCGTGGTCCAAGTTAACCACTCATAGTCCTTCAAGTTTCGAAATTTAACCAGTAGTGGTCCTCTAAAAAGGACCATGGTTTGTTAAAATTTAATAGTCGAAAGACCATGGGTGGTTAACTTGGACCATGGGTGGTTAAATTTGAAAGTCGAAGGACCACAGATGGTCAATTTGAAAGTTTAGGACTAAACGTTGCAAATCACTATACTCAAAGGACCGTCGGATGGTATTAACTCTTGTAATAAAATATTTTAAAAAGCAGTTTGTGTAAATTCTGCACCGTTGTCAGATCTAAAATTTGTAACACAAGTATTAAAATGATTTTAACATATGCCAAAAAATTAACAAGCAATAGATAAGCATCAGATTTAAACATCATCAAATAAGTCCATGTAGCTCTTGAAAAATCATCAACAATATCAAAAAAATAATGATGTCCATTCCTAGTGGGGTTAGAATATTTCCCCAAATGTTCACATGAATTAAATCAAAGCACGCAGTAGTAGCAGTACGACTAATTGGAAAAGATAAGTAAGTTTGTTTAGACATGTGGCAAATATCACAAGGGTCTTGGAAAATCAGAACAACCTAATATTGGAATTAATTTTTGAAAAGTAGTATGAGAATGATGACCAAGTCTAGCGTTCCATGTATTTGATGTAGTGGTGAGTAATGCATGTGAGGGTGTTGTGGTTAGGTAGTATAACCCATTACGTCCATGCCCCGACCAATCTCCGTCTTCGTTGAAAAGGTCCTGAAACACAATAGTTAGGAAAAAAAATAATGCTAGAATTTGAATCTTTGGCAAATTTGTGCACAGATAATAAATTGAATTTAAAGGTTGAAACATAAAAAACATTAAACAAAGTTAAATTATTGGATATTGTAGTATTGCCAAGGCCATGAATGGCTACTGTATCTCCGTTTGGAACTGATATAGTTCACATATGACAAGCATTGATAGGTGGTGAATTAAAGAGAGAATAATTAAAGCATACATGATCCAGTGGCGCCAGTATCAATAACTCATTCAGTTGATGCATTAAAAATAGAAGCAAGTGTGAGAGATATACCAGCAAGATTCGCCTTTGGTTCTTTTACCTCACGAAGTAGTTGAAGCAATTGTTGGATTGAGTCTAAAGATATGGAACCTGTAATTGGTGGTGGAGGTGTAAGAATGGATGTTGGGGTGCCATTGGTATTGCCTTTTTTTGTAATACTTGTGCCCTGGAGGATACCCGTGAAGCTTATAACACAATTGTTGGGTGTGGCCTAGCAGTCCACAATGTGTACATTTCGGCCTTGAACGAGTTTGGGTGGATCGATTAGATGGTTGGTGGGCAACATTAGCGAAGCTTGGTGTCATCTCATTAGTTTGGCCAGTAGTTTGTAAAGGTGGTGTGGGTGTTTACCCAATATTGATGTGTCAACTGTTGGTGGAACAACAGAGGACCAAGGAACATTACTAGACAAAGAAGACTTACCATGTGCATTAGTTTGCAAAGCTACATAATTTGCTGGAGAGTTAGATTGATAAATTGTCCGTTGTGTCTCATCCTGGAGTAGTAAACTATAAGCTGCTTTAACAGTTGGCATGGTAGTTTTGAGAAGGAGATTGCTGCGTGTTTGGGTATATGTTTCGCGTAAACCCATCAAAAATTGGAATAAACGGCGCCGCTCCATTTGAGAAGCATATGCAGTCTGCGCTGAGCATGTGCATACTGGTGGAGGATCAAGCAGAGTCAAGTCATCCCATAGTGCACATAAGATGTTATGATAATGTAGAATAAAATAATCTTGTTGCCTGATGGTTGCAATACGCCTTTCAAGATCATAAATACGAGGACCATTTGCCGTAGAAAAATGCTCTTTGAGATCGGCCCAGATAGTAGCATCATTAGGAGCATATAAAACAGTGTAGCTGAGTGAGAGATGGATGGAATTTAGCAACCCAGACATTACGATATTGTTTACTCGGTGCCAACGAGCATGGTGAGAATCAGTTGCAGGTGGCATAGGAAGGGTACGGTGCCATCAATAAAACAGAACTTGTTTCTTCCTTTTAGGGCCATTGCTGTAACACCCCACTTTTCTAACTCTTAATAATCTCTCTAAACAGTCACTAACACAATCTCAACTTTTAACTTTCACTTTAGCTTCTCACTGAAAAACGTCTGTGTTTCACTTTCAAAAGATAGAAACAAGTACTTTAAACACATTGATAAAGCATAAACATTTAAGCAAACACAAAGGAAAACACGATCTCTCCGTGTTCCCACTAACACTTAGAGTTTCTCTTAACTCTGATTCACATACTCGGTTACTGGACTTAGTGTCCTTCTCATATCAGTTTTCATAACTTAGGGCTCTTTCCCTAATCTTATCCTTCTTAGGATTTCACTTAGAGTTTTCATCTTAACTTGTCTTTCTTAAGACTTCAACTTAAAGGTCTTTCCTCAACTTGTCCTTCCTAGGATTTTCACTTAGATTTTCTATACCCAATCTTAAGGGTCAAACTTCCTAAGTTTTCCCGCGGTTCGTACCGCTCTGATACCAATTTGTAACACCCCACTTTTCTAACTCTTAATAATCTCTCTAAACAGTCATTAACATAATCTAAGCAGCGGAAAATTAGATGAAAGTAGTGAGGGTGTCACCGCCACAACCATCACTCTTGGTGATTGCACAGGTTAAAGGGGTAAAACTATAACATACGATTAAGTCTGGGCACTAAAGTAAATACTGAAAAGTAAGGGGGAAATACGTCACCCCAAAACAGTCTACAAACATCATCATAAAGTATAGGGTCATAAGTCTAAATCCATAAAGAAATCATAAATAGAACTAGAGTTTAGACAGCTCAGACTAAGAGACTAATCTAACTCGATCTCTTCTCACTGTTGGGCCCACATGAAAGGAGTTTTGCAAGCAACACATAGACAAACATGAAAACACCTGTTAGCACGAAGCTAAGTATAACCACACTCAACCCTGTAAAACATTCTAGCATACACTTTGAAAACATTTGATATCTTTATAGCAATAAGCTAATCTCAAAACATCTTTAGTTTATCATATTCTTTCTAAAGGCTTGCACCCTATAATATCAGTTGGCATGCTTATATATGAATAAAACTAATCACGTATATTCATATACATATAGACTTCTCAAATAGCTTATCAAGTAATTCATGCTTACAGATAGGATCATGTTTAAAGATCATATAACACGTGTTCACATGCTATCACACTCTTATCACATAGCTTATTAAGTAGAACTTCTACTACATCACAATAATCATGCTCAAGGAACCTCTCAAGCTGAACTTCTTATTAAACAATCTTTTACGATGTTCTATTCACAAACAATCATATATAACATTATGATCATGCTTCTCGTGCAAACTAGTGCCACAGTATAATCATACTCTTATGCAATCTAGTGCAACATTATACTCATGTTCATATGCAATCTCGTGCAATAATATAATCATACTCTTGTGCAATCTAGTGTAATAATACACTCATACTCTTACGAAATCTAGTGTGTTAATATACTCATATTCATATGAAATCTAGTGTAATAATACATTCATACTCTTATGCAATCTAGTGCAACAATATACTCATTTTCATATGCAATCTCGTGCAACAATATACTCATGTTCATATGCAATCTAGTGCGATAATATAATCATACACTCATATATAAAATAGGGTACTTTCTGTGGAGGTTTCTTTGTTACTTTCTCGAGTCACTCTTGACTCTCGTTCTTTCTATCGAGTCTATATTGACTCTCATAAACGAGTCTCTGTTGACTCTCTCTCTTGAGTCTCTGATGACTCTCTTTCTTGAGTCTCTGTTGACTCTCTTTCTTTCTCTTATACTCGTAGACGGCTTAGGGTTTCACAGAAGTGTGACTTACCCCATCGGGAACGGCATAATTCCTACCCAATATCTCCTACCGTCTACGGAACCAATCTCGTGGTTCAAACTCTGTGGAATCAGGTATCGAACTATTAGTGTGCACACCCCCTAACCAGGATTCCAAGCCCGGCGGGAAGTTTCCAACCTCGTAACGTGGGAATACGCCGCGTTACATACTTTGGGACCGCAATGTCCATAAATATCTCCCGAGAGGAATATAGTCCAAACGGTATCCTCCAAAATCTCACCAATATAGATAATACATAAATATATCTCTCATGCATCAATCTCATGCATGCAACAATTCTACTACTTCTCAATGCATCAAAGAATGATATACCACATGCTTATGGTTTTCAAAAGTATTCTTGGACTCACGTTGGCCCTTTATGCATTTTTGAAATATGACTCATGTGAAATTTCAAATGCTCTATAACATGCTTCTAAATCATGTATACATTAACAAATATGCTTGACATATTTGGCCCTCAAAACTTGTCCAAATATGTCAAATTTTTTTGGACATATTTGGCCCTCAAAACTTGTCCAAATATTTCCAAAACAATCTCAACAACTCATAAACACATACCAAAGCATTTCTAAGCATAAACACATCAAAAGCTCATAATTTCTACTCATTTCTACTCAAAACTAGGCTTCACAGAGCCAAATCTAAAGAGGAATCCATGGGTTATACCTCTTGTAGTCTAGACTTCTTGCTTGGATCTCTTCTTCCTCTTGGTCTAGCTTGAGCCTCCTTCACCACCTACACTTCCCAACACACCTTCTATCCTTAGCCTATATTCTTAAAGACGAAAGAAAACTAGAAGGGAAATGATGCTAGAAAGGAGGATGAACAAGCTTACTAGGTTGAAGCTTTTCTCCTTGGATGTTGGCAGACAAATGTGAGGAAGAGGCAATGAAAATGAGATCAGGAAAATGTGATGGAATGAAGGGTTTATATAGGGTTCAAAACCCTAAGATGATACCCAATGATTGGTTGAGGGTAAAGGGGTAATTTCCCCAAGCTAAAAGATGACTTTATAAGAGATTTTTGGATGTCTTGTGGTTCACCATGTATCATGAACCATAGGCTAGAAATGATATTTCTTAATTACTTTGGGGTGGAAAGTGAATTTTCCTAAAAACTATATGGATGAACACTTGTTCAAAATTTCCTTTTTAATTCTCCCGGTCTCACTCGGGTAAAATTCTCGATTTAAATCTTGGTACGCGAAGTACCCGAAAACTTTGGAATTTTCGATTTAAAATTTTTAATAGGATGAAAAAACTACTTTGAAATTTCTTAATACTGGATTTATAAAATAAAATTTTGGGTTGTTACGATATAATTGTCATTGCAAGGGACAAAGGATAATAATTGTCAATGCCTGTGAGAAGGATGACAACAAGAGTAGTGCATGTGCCATCTGAGGAATGGAGGAAAGAAGGGCTCTCGATGTCAACATGGGTGTCATTTGACGGTGGTAGAACAATGGAAGGAGTTAAGGTTTCAGTTGTGGGAAATGATGTATTGGATGAATGTTGGGACATGATGAGTATTTATCAAAAAGAAGAAAAAAAAAAGCTCTGATACCACGAAATGCACTGTGTGCATAGAGAGAGAGAGATGAAGAAGAGTAAGCAGAAGAATAAATGGAATTATAATATATTTCCCATATGTGATAATGAAAAACACAAGTAAAGAGAGATATATATACAAAACAATATAACGGTAAAATAATGAATAAAGGAAATCTACGTAATATCTAGCCTATGTATATGGAATGGATATAATATATATACATCCCTAATTATGTATGGAGAGATTAATAGAATATATTTTCTATATTTAATCTTTACATCATCCATCTCCTTTATATTAATCAAATACTATATATCAATCTCCAATGGCCCTTTTCAGCAAGGACGGAGCCAAAGGGGGGGCAGGGGGGCAGCTGCCCCCTCACCCCACCCTCATCCCATTTATAATCTTTATATGTATATTAACCAAGTCATGGCATTAGTACTTTACACATTTTTGTCTAGGGCTTTGGATCAATACATTTTTATCCAAGTCATGTCAAAATCACACATATTTGCTATGTCTCGTGCTAGGGATAAAACTCTACTCTTCAGTAACTTCTGAATAATCTGATGAAGAGAGGATTGTAAAACTCTACTCTGCTTAGTAAAATAGTTAGCTTATCAATCAGTTTTGGTTTGTTTGATCAATATTAGTGTTTGACTTGGCTAAACAACCAATATGAGTGACTAATTAGCTTTTTGTATTAACTTATTTCTCCAAAATACAAATTCAAAAAATTGCTCAAAACTGCTTTTTGATAAAGTCATTTTGTACGACGTAATCAACTAACAGTTAATTTACCAACAATCAGCTAATGTTATCAACTAGTCAAACCCACTAATCAATCAACTAACAACTATTTACCAAACACACTCGTAAGCTTTTCCGTATGACATAAAAAAACTATTTCACATTGAAGGTAATCCAAAATTTAGCTTTACTCATGAGAAAGTATTGCCAAAATGAACCCTATGAGCTTACAAATCCTCTTTCATGCATTCCAGTATTAGTATGTCCACTGCGCTATAGATGGTCTTTGAACTGCGATCTGTCTCTTTAGTACCAGATAATGCAGCATATATTTCTTTATAACGATCACACCTTTGCTGAACTAATTAATTCTAAGCCCACATACAGGACCCCCGCCCCCGGAGGTAGCCGCAGAATTAGCCCACACGCACAAGGAATCCAATTTATACCTTCCATCATCTTTGGACTTTTTTCTCATACATATTTCCAACGGTTTTCCTCACACCGCCGCCTCCCGTCAGACGACAAAGCTAAGCCCCCGGCCCTGAGGCATTCCTATTATTATTTGCATTATGTCAAGATAATATTTCATCAAATTATTATTATGCGTTTATTTACTTATAATATGAGGGTGGGGAGATTGTAGAAGGGGAAATTTTTGGACACTTGAACGCCCCAGGCATGGAGCATGGA